AGAACATTGTTTTCCTGGGGGAGAATTTAAATTCCTTGAAGTCAGGTGACCAGAGCTTAAATTCTTCGCATGCAGATGACCTACTTTTCTCCAAAGAGCCATCAGAGAGTTGGCACACCTTTCTGCCATCAAAATGCTTTTGGAGTCATGGGGAAATCAGTGGGAAGCACCTTTTGGTGTGGCCTTTGGAACCCTTTCTCCTGCCAGCCCTCAGGGGCCGCCTGCAGCCCTGGCTGGCCCACAGCTCACACTGTGCTTCCTTCTTCGCTTCCTCCTGTCCTTTCTCAGGTGACTGTTAGAAATCAGGTGTCTCTCTCTTCCTCAGAGCTGTAGTGTGCGTACTTGAATCGTAGAAAATGCCATGTATTTAGTTATTTTGGTTTTGACAAGCAAACTTATTTTCTTGTGGCTCGGGAAGCAGGAAGTGCGGGTCCAGGGCGGTGAGGAGGGGGTAAGGCCAGCAGGTGTTAGAGGAAAGGAAGGCCTTGTCCTTTCCAGCTGCTGGTCCTCCATGACTTGGCCCCCATTGGCCTAACACACACGCCATATGCTAATGCGACCTCATTCACATAACAGAAAACCGTATTGTCAAGTGGTATTCTGCAGAGTGTGTTAGATACCCAGAGTATGTTATGATACTGGAATATGTTAGGTACCCAGAGCCCATCCTTCTCCTGCAAGCAGTTAGTGGTTTCCAGCTGGCAGACAGGTGCAAACCCTGCCTACAGAGCCCCTCTGTAAGGCAGAATGATCCTGCCCCATCCTGTAATAGGCTCATGGCTCTAGTCACTGCCAGTCGTCTTCTTCACTGGCCCTCCACTCTTCCAAGCGTGATATCCTTGTTTTGGGACTAGCCTTTCCTGATAATATACTGAGCATTTGTGAGGTGAAGACAGACCAGCTTTGCCTCTAAGGAGCACTACAATTGCACTTTGAAGATACATTTGCTTGTTGTTTTGGCTGTGGGGAGGGCCATATCTGACCGTTACCAACTTCACAAAGAGGAACTATCCCATCAACAATATCAGCAACACAAAACCAGTTCCCATGAGGTCAGACGTGTCTTCCCACGCTCCCAAACCTCCTCCTTATTGCTGTACTGGGTTCAAAATCTGAGGTGATAGACCACACCGAACCATACTGGGGAAGTAAAAAATCTGTGGTTCAGGTTAGGAGCAGGATATAGTCAGGACAGCTTCTGAAATGTGCCAGCAGGTGCCCCAGCCTTGAGGTCAGGTGCTTTAGTCCAGTGTTAAAAGCTTGCAGTCTTGCCAATTACGGCTCTGCCACCAAGTCCTCCAGCAAACTTGGGCACAATGCTCTTGGCTCTGGTGCCGGGGCCTCTAGTCCCATCTCATGTCGGATCTCTGGTTCCCTGCTGTGGCCCATCTAGGCCCTAGTCTGCCTGGCACAAGAATCTCTGACCCTGAAGGATGTACGACATTTTCTTGATTTTTCTCCGCTAATGGGAAAGACACTCTAATTCTGCTGCTGGATCCACTCAATTGAATGGCGAGACTAGTCAGTCGCCTTGTAGATAGACTAACATCCCCGATGGCAAAGTCAGGCAATGGCTGGGAAAGCTGATTATAAACCCCACAGCCACAACATACTCAGTATTCTTAGCCAGAACCACAATCAAAGGCGTAACATCGTCTTTGGTCTTTCTTATTCATTGTCCAGCTTTCACATGCCTTTGAAACAATTTAAAGCACCATGGGTTGTGTCAAGCACACCCTTAGTCATTAAAGTTGCATCTTTGCTTTTTCACACTTAAAAGAAGTACTCGGCCCTGCTTTAGAATTTTTACATTACGGTTTTAGTAAGCAGTTGCCCCCGAGATTCTTTTTAAAATGTTAATCTTGTCATGATCGGTGGGACATGCATGGCCCGTCCGCATTTTTAACCCTCAGATTTCTTCGCGACATGCTACCACTTGGCAGGGACCTGTGTAACTTTGTGAATCTGAAGCAGTGGGCCTCATCTAACCCAGTAGAGTCTATTTGAGACATGCTTTCCCATAGAATTGGATAAAAATCTGTATTACCTAAAAATCTTCCCCTTCTTTTACTGAAAACTCTGATAGCATAACCCATAGAAAGTTATCACTGCCAACCCAAAGGTCATGCCTCTGGCAGTTTGAATCTACCAGGGGCTCCTTGGAAGAAAGATGGTAATATCCTCCTGTGGGAACCTGAGTCAGTTTATGAGTCATTTTCAATCTGTTGGCAGTGAGAAATTACGGAAAATAAGTGGTATCAACAAAAAATTCCAAACAGAAAAGAATTTGATCTTGAAAGGGTTAAGATCTTTTAAAAATCTTAGTTTAACTGTGAACAGAGCTAAAAATCAGGGGAGGAGTAGGGAGTGAAGCTGGCAGAGTTGAGGGGAAGGGTGTTAGAGATAAGAGCATACCTTTTCAAACTAGAGATAAGAGCATACCTTTTCAAACTACCATTCATGTTTCCCCATGAAAGACTCTCTGGCAGTGTTACACATGTCACTCTTAATGGAAGGATCGTCTGTTTGAACCCATGAGCTGCACCTTGGCAGAAAGATAAGTAGACACCTCCTTCAATGATTTACAGCCTTGGACACCTGGGGGAGGGTCTTCATGAAGTTGATAGTACAGGGTATGGCTTTTGTCAAAGATTTGTCCACAGTGTCAGCATCACTAAACTACGCCCTGGGGACTCCTGGTCCCCAGCCCTGCAAATGCTCTAGAGTTAGCTTCCCAGATACCCATGGGGTTGCCTCGTGTGACGTGAGCTTGGCTGTGGTGGTCAGGCCTTTGGGCTTCCCCACCATCCACTCTTCTGGACCTGATAAAGACAGACACGAGAATTCAGCGTAAGGGGTCAGCAGTGCCCAGTGTGTGCAGTTCATCAGCTTATGCCATCCTTAGCTTGGTCCTTAGCCCTTTTTGTGTTTGGTGTTCTTTTTGAGGGAGTGTTTTTCATTTTAGGGGAAGAATTGCTATTTTGTGTTCTGATTACTTGCCAGTAAGCTAGTGCAGTGAGCTAAATATGCGTGATAATCTTTCTGCAACAAGCTCCACATTGTGTTGATGGTACCAGTTGGATGCCCTGCTGTGGTTAGAGTCATTCTTTGGACAATCAATTCACATTAGGATTCACCAGGATTCTAGTTTATTAAATTATGAATAATACGATTTTCTAAGTGCCAAGAAACCAAGTAGCTGAGAAGCAATTTATCTCATCTGTGTTGGTATTTGTTTCATTGTTTACGTTTGAGAATTGACAATTGAAATTCTCTTTTTGCCTTGGGAAAATCTATAATGTCAGTGAATTTTATGTCTAAGCATTTGTGAGAGTAAATGTTTGCCCAAGACATAAAGGATTGATTTACTTGAACCTTATATATAATTTTAACAACAAGTTTGTTGATAAATCTGTGTCATTTTGTGGGTGGCGGTTGTTAGTGCCATTGAGTTACTTTGCCATATAGCAACCTCGTGTAACCAAGGTATTGCTGTGTGCTGTGAGTTAGAATCCATAGCTGAAGCTCCAGCAGGCTTTCAGAGGCAGTGAACCATACGGCAGGAGGTTTCTCATCCTTCTGCGGAGCAGCTGGTGGCTTTGAACCTAGTGCCTGTGAGATTGTAGCCCAGCTTCTTAACATTAGACCACCAGCGCTCCCTGTGTAACCAAGTGGAACGGCTCTATAGAGTCTCACTAAGCCATGATCTTTGTGGGGGGAGCTCTGATGGCCTAGTGGG